TGTTTATGTTTATGTTTATGTTTATGTTTATGTTTATGTTTATGTTTATGTATTCGTCTATTTTTTACTTAAAAAATTACCTTAAAACACACAAGTCGGGAGAAAAGTCCTAAAACGACAAAATGTAATAGACAAAGCTCTTGTTTTACGTCTTTGTTAACTATTTATGGGTCTGGCTAATTTTAGACGTTAAACGAATGTAATGTTATTAGTGTTTCTTTCAGACATTTGCGCAGGTGGGGGGGGGGGGGGTAAGGCACATGTAACAGTTGGTGTGTCGGGGTGGAGGGTTGGTGGACTTTATTTTTCGTTTCCTGTATAATTTCTTATTCGTACGGGGGGGGGGGGGGAGAAGAAAAATAAACGTTCATAGCGGGCGGGGGGCGGTGGGGGCAGCCCACCGAAGAGATGTCAGAAAGAAACACTGGTGATTATGTGTGTGTGTGTGTGTGTGTGTTTGTACGCCTACGCCTTGTGTCATCTTTTAATTTAAAAATCTATATCGTGAAGCTATCACGCTATTAGTTTAAATAAAATAAAAGTTAGTTGCAGTTTTAATTTTATAGTTATAATAATGGTTTCGTTTTAAATTCGAATAAGACCAAATTTTGTATTGTGTTTGGAATATTTATTCATGTTGTGATAATTAAGGGTTCGTTAAATTTACAAATCCATGTAACCATGTTTAGTATTTTAAAAAGTAACAATTGTTTTTGACATATGTGAAATCTAAACACATTTTCGATGTGTTAATAAAAAATACAATGAAAGTAATGTGTTTTGTTTTGTGACTGAGTAAATGGCATATGCGTGATAAATGTGCAAAAAGCATTTTAAATTTGTGTTACAATATTTTGCGTAAATACATTTTTAACGAAACGTTTAGGAAATGTTATTAAAACATAATACAGAAACTCGTTCAAATAATTTTTAGTTTTACAGTTCAAATAATTTTTAGTTTTACATGACGAGATATTTAATTAGAAATAAATTAAACTAAACGCAACACCACGCTCGACAAACCGTTAATTACATCTTACTTTAAATATTACAACACTTCGTCATAAAATTCCACTCCACAACCATCTATACTAGGGTTCAGCAACTTTTTGAGCCGGAAGAGCCAAAAAATACAATTTACCAATGTTCCCAGTTTTTAAAGAGCAACTAACATTTTTATTTTAATATTTTGGCGATTTAATTAGGATTAGATACATACTTTGAATTTTGATTTGAAATAAATAAATTAAATTTGAAAGAATATTTGTACTTAAAAATACATACTAATATTTAGCACAAAACATATTAAATTATTTTTTCACCCAACTCTGCTATAATACAATTAGTAATCAAATAATATAGCTATACGACTATCCCAATCCACTTTAGAAGCCAATAACTTTTTTTTCCCTTTCTTTACGGACACCAGCGGCTCAGGAGGTGTCTCCCATAGCCCGGCAGCCCTAAACACGGTCAACTCAGACTACTGGCTTGGGTATCGGTCGTTTCTGTTATCGGTTCTCACCTGGCTTATCTTCCTACTCACTGAACGCAGGGTAAACTCGTACCCCACCGGCTCAACCGTAGGAAGCTAATAAGTTTAAAAAACATGTCACTCTGGTCAAATTAATGCATACTGACCGATAGAGAAATGCATTATGAATAAGAATAATATTCCTCATTTAACGATATTCGAAAAAGTTGGCAGTGGCAAGAATGGAACCTTCGTCACGAGGCTGGCTACGGCACGGTTGTGGGGCTGGGTCTGGTGCCCAAACGGCTGTCAGCTGTCCGTATCCTTTCTGCCTCACCTACACTTATTGTTCTCCGATGCGTGTTTTTATCATTTTTAAAGTTGTTTTTCTTTATAATAATTTTAATGAGTTTTGAAAATAATACAAAATAATTATCAATATTTGTGCATGGAACTGGAGAGCCGCATCTTAGAATCAAAAGAGCCGTAGGTTGCCGACCCCTGATCTATACCTTTTCTCAGACAACATCCCGACACACCACATTTAATTCCCTTTTGCTACCCTTCTCCAGCAATATACGCAAATCTAAGTAAATATGCTTCATATGCCGAAATCACAGAAACAAGTGAACTTTATTTCACTTCCCCTGAACACCGCCAAATATGAAAGGGAGCTTTACGTAAAACAAAACGAAAAAAATTGTAAGTTGGTGAAAAACATTTATTCCGAAATTACAATATGTATATATTACTTTACTACATCACATTAAAAAAACCAACTGCCGATTTTTGAAAATAGGATTTAGGCTTTAAAAAGTTAAAACTACAATAATTTCAGTATCAGCAAGAGTTTGACATGCGTATGATATGATAAGTAACTTGTTTTAACGTTTTTTCTTGACGTTATTTAAAGTTACGAATTTAGTAACTAACAAAGCATTAAACTAATCAGAAAACACAAAATCAATACAATTTGAGATTTAATAATGTCAAATATGCCTCTTTAAAACAAGATGAAAATATATCATATTATTTATATTGATAGAGTTTTCTTCAAGAAGCTTTTCTTAACTATTCATAAATGTAACCGCTATTGTATTAATAACAAAACTTTTACGATAATCAAATAAACCAAATTGTAATTGCAATGCAATGTAAAACAATTTTTAGCATCTTTCATATAGTTAGCTGTGCTGTTACTTAAAAAACAAATATTAGCATCAGTTGAATTTATTGGTAGAACTTTCTTACATAAACCACACATTCGGTATTGGCACTCGTTTGAATACCAAACTCCTGTGAAAAAAATCAATCAATCAGTACTTTAATGTAAAAACAAATAAAGCGGGCTTTTCTTATTTAACTTTCTCGTATATTAATTGTTACTTTCTTGTATGCAGAGTACACTGGAAGTATTATAATAGTAGGCCTACTGAATAATAAACAGATAATTTGACAGATTTTCGAAGTGTTACACATCTCTTCTTTATCGTAAACGGAATGTAAATAATGTAAGTCTTAAAAATTTAGGACGTGATGTTTGAAAGCTTTGAGTTAACGTTAATCGTTCTTCGTCATACTGAGCTAGAAAACACTTCGTCGACCGCCCAGGTGTCAGTAACGTACCTGGGCGCTCTTGTACGGTCCCTCGTTAGGTGTAATCATCGAATGTTGTGTGCAAACATGTCAATATTATAGGGTGCTCCTTTAAACTAAAGTAGGCGCCATAGTGCTCACACGATAGCCAGGGGAGCCAAAACGCACAATATCCGGACGCCGGACGCGCCTAATTCAATATAGTGAACGACTATATTACCATATCTTATCCATAGTCTATCGCACTCTTTAAAACAAACGTATGCTACATAGCGCTCATGGTTAAACCTAAATCGACTTTTATTTTTAAAGTAAAATCATAGACATTTAGCTTTTTTAAATATTTTTTTTCATCTAAATCAGGGGTCTCCAAACTACGGCCCGCGGGCCGGATGCGGCCCGCGAGGTCCTCTCATCCGGCCCGCGGAGATCTTTTTGTCCACGGAACAAATATTTGTTGGTGATAGCTGAGGAACATGCCTGGAATAAACTGGCCCCCGAACTGAAATTTGATAGTTAATGCGGCCCTCGGACTGAAAAGTTTGGAGACCCCTGATCTAAATAGTAAATTTTATAATCTGCGTTTAGAATGAAAACTATTATACAAGTTAATTGCACGACAATTTAATTTGAACCTGCGCTCCAATTTCAGCCTTCTTTTGTTTTAAGTGTAGCTTTCATAGCCATTGTCCATAGTAGTATATTAGGTCCCTTTTGGGTAGTATGGTGGTGGTGGTGCCGGAGGTGCAAAGGATATATAGTAAAATACTCACCCACCTGGTTGAGCCGGCGGGACAACGAGATATAGTAAAATACTCCACCACCGGGTGGTGGTGGTGGAGAGGTGTGGTGGTGGTGGTGGTGGAGGAGAGGGGGGTGGTGGAGGAGAGGGTGAGTGGTGGTGGCCTGGGGGTGGTGGTGGTGGCGCAGGAACAACGAGATATAGTAAAACACTACTCTAACTGGAGGAGCAGATAAAAAAATCAAATTTAAATTTAAAAATAATAATTAAACTAATTAAAAATAAACAAATTTAAAAACAAATTCACCGGTGATTACGTCACAATGTCACCGGTGGTGACCTACTGACCTACTCCCCCTGCGCCTCACCCTTCACCCACCCGCCTCACCCACCCGCCTCACCCACCCGCCTCACCCACCTTCACCCAGATGGGTGGGTGAGTATTTTCCTATATCTCATTGTACCACTCCCACTCTCCTCCACCACCACTCCCCCTCTCCTCCACCACCACCACCACCACACCTCTCCACCACCACCACCCGGTGGTGGAGTATTTTACTATATCTCGTTGTCCCGCCGGCTCAACCAGGTGGGTGAGTATTTTACTATATATCCTTTGCTCCTCCGGCACCACCACCACCATACTACCCAAAAGGGACCTAATATACTACTGTCCATTCAAAAAGATTGGCTTATTTTTTTCTCCAATCTAAAGGTAGATGTAATTCTGATATATGTGCCAAATATATTATCTCAATGCTAATTAAATGGCAAAAAATAGACAGTATAGTTTACCGTTTGAAGGGCTCATACTTGCACAATGTCCGTATTGCTCATGTGCAACTTGACTTGTGGAAAAGTTACTGAAATTTGGTTCTGAATTATCAGTCCATCTGTAAGACCAAATTGAATTTGAAATCAGACGCGCGCAGATATTTTTAAAATATTATGGTAAACTGCTTTTATAAAACTTTAAAACACAAATCTACCTCCAGACAGCGTCAACGGAATCATAGTGATAACCTATCCATACCGTGTCAGAGCCATGTCTCTCAGAATATTACAAGAAAAAGACATATGTATAATTATTTTAAACGTTACTTGTTGAATTAAAATACAATAATAAAAAAAACTTTAAATTTGAAAATTTGATAATGAAATGTTATTTATATATAGCCCATCGATCAATTAAATATTTATTTATAGCTAATGAAATATTATTTTAAAAAAAATAAGTTGGGGTCAGTTCATTAAAACAAAACATTGCAGCTATCAATGTAGGATGCTTTCATAGACGAAATAAGTCTAATAAATAAGTACATAGTAAAGACATCCCTCCAATGTTGATGTTTGTGGAAGGTGCAGAGATTAAATATGTATGAATGGTGTACATGTATGTGTGATGAAGCATGTAAGGCAAGATTCAAATATAGATTAAAGATGCATGTGGCGGAGAGATTGCAATTGAAATTAACTATCCTTTCGATCCTTACGGTCAACGGGCGGTTCGCCTGTAACATAGTTGCCTTTTAGATCAGCAGAGAAACAACTGACAAAAACAGGAGTATCTGAGAGGTTTATCCTGAAAATTGACAGAGACCGGCAAAATAGGAAAGAGCTTTCCGTGTCCACAAATAAAAAACTATGATGGTGTTTCGATTTCTAATATGAAAGTACTTGAAAAATACAAAGCCACGTAACATAAAAAATATTACAGTCTCCTTAAAAATATTTAAAATATCGTTTTTTTGAGGCAGGAAAAACAGTTTTTAACTAAAAGTGTTCTTAGATTTTTATATTTTCAGATACTATTAGTTTACACCTAGCATTGACTGTGGGTGGCGGTGATAGTGCGAAATGGTCGTATGAATATAGAGGACAGGTGTTCACGTATTTACAAATGACCGTTTTAAATGTAAGACCGCTTATCTGATTGAATAAGAAGGTGTTTTCGTCGGCTGAATGTACACTGGCTAGGTCCCCATCACATTCCATACATCTCTGCTCTGTGTCTCTAAAGTCTAGCCCAGATGTGAGAAAGTAACAGTTGTCCTTAAATTTAACCCAATTCTCTTCTGAGCATGGCTTGGCTGATTCTGAATAAAGAAAACAATAAGCGTAAGACGTGTCCATCACGTGATATAGAGAAAATTAATATTTTAAAATCTTTGTAAGATCGCAGTTTTGTACAATATAAGTTGTTAGGTTAGAACGTAAAATATTGTTTTTATTTCTTCAAATGCTTTTGTAAAAGATAACACATACACTTAGCATATACTTTTTTTCCCGAAGGTGTATGCATGTTTATAGATCAACACATTTAGTTAAACAAATAAATTGGAATTTCATTACTTCCTCTCAATAAAAGCACAAAAATTGGGATAAAATTGGCATTCGATAATTTACATCCACAAAACTCCCTATATTGAACCATCCATTCCTCCCACAAACAACCAAACATCTTACTCACAAGCCAAATCACAGAATACGTAGGTGCGGGCTTAAGATGGTAGATGAGAGAATAAAGTCGAGCAGAGAAGCAGAGAAGTGTACAGTAGGAAAGAACATGATCGATTAGTTTTTGCAAAGACTATATATATATATATATATATATATATATATATATATATATATATATATATATATATATATATATATATATATGTATATATAATTCTTACCACTATCAGTCTGGTGCAATTGTAAGAAAGCTGCACATATCATCAATGTGATTTGCACTTTCATTTTCAAAGTTCTTAGAATTTTTTGTGCTTGGTCCAACCTAACATGGTAAAAACATTAATAATTTACTGTCATAGCATTCGAATAATGTCGGCAATTCTAGAATCAAACCCATTATCAAATTGATGTAATGGATTTGATGTAGAAATTGCATTCTACATCGAACAAAACATTTAATTAGAGTGTGTGATACGCCCACGCTTGTTACAAAAAGATACAATGTATGTTACTTTTCGTTAATTTCTTCAAAACAGCGATTTCCATTTAACAATTAATTGTTTCGTGTTAAATATTTCATGTTCGTTTTTTTAAACACATGCGACCCCTAACTAATGTAACGGCTTTTATAGACGACTCCATATATGGAATGCTAAATTTACATTTGAACTTAGTTACGTTTATACAGACTTTTGTGTATAGTACTTAACCACTCATAGAGTTAAATACTTCACCACTTATATAGTTGAATATACTTAACTACCATATCTATATTACAATAGAACTAGTACAAATCAAGTATGATGAATACAGGTTTAAAATAAAACCACACAAAAGTATGATTTCCAAAGAGTCAAAGCTTGTTCGAAAATCAACAGATATTCTGGTGCATATGCGCAACTGTTTTTTTTTTTAATTTAAAAATGGTATCTTTCTTTACTGCCTTAGAACCTGATTGAAAATCACCCAATATTTCAGCTTAATACAAAGATACAGAGGAATTCAGAAGAAAACTAAACTCAGGGTCACTTGCGTCTTTCCGTTAGAAAATGAGAACCAAAAAAAAATGAATAAAGCTCAACAGGAACCTCACTCTGTTTTTTTTTAAATTAAGATTGACTTACATAGAATGAAGGCAGGCCTGGCGTTTTACCAACAGAATGTAGTACATCTTTATGTCATCTAATACAGCCAATGGGCGAGCGGTACTGACACATTACATAAAGTAGGACGTGACCTCACTAACATTGACTACAGAGAGGGTTTAGCCGACAGTCGCGTTTTCGCGACATAACGATTTTGCGCTTACCATATGCGCATTATTACATTTATCCCACTGCTGTTAGTCGTTGTGTATTGGGTACATTTAGACTGTCTTGTCAGTACCAATGGTCACGATGTCAAGTCGAAATTTTTGACGTCACACTCTCTTGACTCAAGCGCATCGTATTTCTTTTTACATAGTGCATTCAGCCTAATTACATTGATTATTATTACCAAACTGTTGGTCCTTTTTTACTACAAAAAATACTAATAGCTTTACTATTCACTCTTTTATGTATATAAACAGTATAAATCACCTATTAGAATAATTTAGGAAGTTATCTTCTGATTACGGTTTGTCACGTTTTCGCGACATCCGGCAACAAGATATAAAATTGAACTCGGGTGCCAAACTAGGTATGGCGAAATAAGATTCATCACCAAGCTGTCGTTTCTACAAGTTTTATTATAAATAAGTAAAGGATGTACAATGTAGTCTTCGCCTATATATAAAAGTGCACTTTAGAACGTTACGGTCCATGCGGTAGGTGAAGTAGAGTTCCCCTGTTTCATTGACATTGGCATATGGAGAGAGAGAATGATGCTGGGATAATGTGGTCATGCTGAGGGTACAATGTAGCGAATTCGGCTTTGAAATAGCTTTTTAAAATATTAGGAGAACTGAAAAAAAAATAGACAACAAGTTAGGTGGTGGACCACTATATTGGATACCATCAAACGAAAGGTCTTCACGGTGATCTTGACAATAATAATACTCAGCATTGACCTACACCTCGTAATAGATACAGTGTCACTGCTGTGGGTACTCAGCGCTGGCGCTGTTTGTAATCGAGAACATTCCTGTGGGTACTCAGTATCACTACTGTGGGCACTTAGTGCTGAATTTGTGGGTTCTCAGTGTCACTGATGTTGGTGCTCAGTGCTGAAAATGTGGGTACTCAATAACATTGCTATTGGTACTCAATGCCAATATAATGTCACTGATGTGAGTATTCAATAGCACTGCAGTGGGTTGTTTTTTGTCAGTATTCAACTTTACTGTATCTATTATTTATGTTCCCTTTGCAACCAAGATAATCAAGAACTAGGATTTTTAACTTCGCAAGATTGGCAAAAAAAATAAAATAAAGTAAACATTAGGTAAAAAGTTAAAAAATAAAATGCTTATGCATTTTTCAAAATACGCAGTTTGTTTTATTATCTAATTATTTTTATGATAGCTATCATTTTATTTTTCGCTATGCATTGCTGTTTTAATTATCCAGTTTACATTTATTGCTTTCGTTGCTTGAGCTGATTACTGCAGTGTTTTTAAACGAGATATGTTGGTTAATAATTTTGTGCACGTTTTCTCGATAATGAGATAGTTTGAAAAATCTTTTCAAAAATACATACCTGTGATTTTAATTGCAAAAAAAAAAACCCCACAATTTTTCTACGCGTATTGTTCTAAGATATCCACGTGTCAAAGCCACAACAATCAAAAATAGTTCAACAAATGTGGAAAGTGTTTTGTCTGGTCATCACTTACGTGGCTCGCTCTAAACTCTTTAGAAAACAAAAACAAATAAACCGGGAGTGATCTCACCTAAACTTTCTGGAATATTCTTATATAAAACAACAGGGGGTGGGAACTCAGGATATAGACATGATTTTTTATTCAATTTAAATACTTAAACTTTTTAAAATAGAATAAAATCTCGTGGAAAAAGAATTGCACACCAAGTGAACGCCAAATAAAGATGTGCATAATAGTGCGCAATATTATTAGTACTTTATAAATTTATATGCGTTTTTGAGGAATTGGAAGTAGCGTAAATTACTACTTCCGGTCAACGGAAATTACTCAAAAGTTGATACGAATCTACGATTTTGATAAAATACTTATATATGAAATTTCATCAGGTGTAAATCTTCGAGATTTGCAAAAATCTCGTGTTTTTTAAACGATTACAATACTTTCTCTATACTTCGTATATACCAGAAAGTAAAAAAAAACTAAATAAATCGGGAGTGAACTCCCCTTTTATGTATGTTTTTATGTAAAAATGCGAAAATGTTTGTCTTCTCGCGATCTTATCTGTATAAAGAGGTATAAAGGGGTATAAAGATGTATAAGGAGGTGTAAAAGGTATAAAGAGGTATACCTAGTTGTAAAGAGGTATAAAAAGATATGAAAATGTTTAAAGATGTAACGAGGTATAAAGAGGTATAACAAGATGTAACGAGGTACAAAGAGGTATAACGAGGAATAAAGGGGTATAAAGAGGCATAAAGAGCTATAAAGTGGTATAAAGAGGTATAAAGAGGTATAAAGAGGTAAAAAGAGGTAAAAAGAGGTATAAAGAGGTTTAAAGAGGCATAAAGAGGTATAAAGAGGTAAAAAGAGGTATAAAGAGGTATAAAGAGGTAAAAAGAGGTAAAAAGAGGTAAAAAGAGGTATAAAGAGGTTTAAACAGGCATAAAGAGGTATAAAGAGGAATGAAGAGGTATAAAGAGGTATAAAGAGATGTAAAGATGTATAAAGAGGTATAAAGAGGAGTATACACATAGTTCTGAACGCACATTGTGTGTTGAAACAGATAAGCTCTATCTTCTATATCTCGATAAACTATTAGATCGGCTATTCTATTTTATAAACTATAATTAAAATGTGTAGTGTAAAAAATCTACTTAGATCATTTCAATGTCTTTATTTTTCATATTTATCAAGAAACTTTTTGTTTGTAGTCAATGTTAATTTAGAAAATTCTGCAACTCAAATCCCTATTTCATCAGTTTCCTATTCATGCATTGACACTTTATCATCATGATTATTTTTTTAAAAAGGCACAAAGGCTTGAACGGGTAGATCAGAGTTTGCTGATTGTAGTCCCACTAGCAGGGGTCGGCGTGGTCGAGTCGGTAAAGCTCATGGTTGCTAAACCGAAAAGTCTCGATCGAACCCTCGGGCAGATGAGGCTCGTGAGCTGGGGACAGCCACTCTTCTAGGAGAGACAACTCCAAAATTAAATAACTGCTGCCTTGTAGTTTGTTCTTGGTTGGACAAAGGCTATGGAAGCAAATCCAGAAAGAAAAGCAGGCTGAAATCGGAGTCAATGGCCTCAATGTCGCATAACCAGTTGACACGTAACGCTTAATTGTGTTGGAGGCGTGGTCGAGTCGGCAAAAAGCTCATGGTTGATAAATTCGAACAAAAAGTTTCGAGTTCAAACCCACTGGCAGATAAATCTCGAACCCCTTCAACACTAATAATTAAGAAAGAAGAAGAAGAAAGAAGGAGTCCCACTAGCAACTGATATAAAATACGTCATGTATTGGTTATGAGATGAATAGTTTATAATTAAAATTCACTACAGACATATACGGGGACGGCGTGGTCGAGTGGTAGAGCCAAAAGGTCTCAAGTTCGGATCTGGAATCTGACTTGTGACTGTAGGTCATCACAGAGTCCACCCAGCTATGACGGGGAAAGTAAAGAAGGCTGGTTACATTGCTACTGACCACAACATCTCTTTATATGCCGAGGTTAAGAAATATATAAAGAAACATATGAAGAAACATATGATAAAACATATTTCATCTTCCCAATTTTTTTTTAAATTCTTTATTTACACATATGTGCTTTTTATCGTTTTAGAGAAAGCTTGAAAATAAAAGTTTCATCCGCCCATAAGCTTGCGTGGCCTGTCACTATTATAGGATCGCCTACAAAATTGGAGCCAAGAACCGTAGTTATTGAAGTAAATGAGCAAATATCTACTTTGGAACTAAACCAAATAGATCTATCTTTTGTGTGACTTTTCACACCTGTTCGTGGTTTCTATAGCAACCAACATTATAACTGACGACTGTGTATTAGTATATCGATATATTTAACATTATTTATCATAATTAGTTTAAACAGAGATCTCTGCAATTTAAAAAAAAATGGCTTACATTTTAAAATCGTTTAAAATAAGAAAAAAATGCATTCCATGAATCCAACACTTTCAAACATAATATTCTAGTTTAAACATTTGAAAACTCAGTTTTTTACTATACCAAACACGGGAATATTTATAACATTGATTTTACTATAATGTATATGTATATAAAACACAATGGGAAAATGTAAACACTGGGATGTAAACACAACGTGTATGCATATAGACGACATCATTACAATAAGAACATATCAGATTCACGAGGACAATGCCTGAGATTTAAAAATTAATCATAAAGAAGGGCAATGTAGAAATTGCATTTTGCCAATGCAAATATAGTTCTTGATTATTTCTCACGTTCCTATATAACCGTTACGTGATAATATTGATCAATTGTTTCCAAGTGGTAGACACTGGAAAAGGAAAAAAAATAAACATATGAAACTTCAATAAATAAATCATTTTTTTTACTCAACCGTCTCGGACATAAGTGAAATAAAAAAAAATGTTCTTCATGTTAAATTTGTATTATCAAAATTAAAATCAGAGTTTGATAAATAAAGAGTCTGTTTTATATGGAATATTGTAATCTTTTGTGGAAATGTTAATTCTTGTAGCCAATGCATCGTATACACACTTAAGAAATCCAAAAAACAACACTTTTCTTATAAACCATTCAAAAAGAACTATTTAGAGTTTAATGAAATCGCCGTTGCCTGATTATTAACAGGCTTTTGATTGAAAATACATTTGAACTATAAGAAATGAATGTAATAATGATTTGGTAAAACCAGTACGCGCTAAAAATATAAAAATAAATAATTTTCGAACTCACCGTTTTAAAAAGTACATATACAAACTACAATCAAAACTATGATTGCACGTGTGATAGCACAGGAACTTTTCATAGGCGACCCTTGAGAGTGTCTCATGTCTATAATGGAGGATTAACACACTATAAAATAATCACTTTGGGTTAAAATATAATAA